TCTATTTTTAATAATAACATTTAACCAGATTATTTGGTCCCAAATAAAGCTAAGCCGTTGTTAGAAAGTCAATATTACGTATGCGATGGGATTTAATGATGTTTATATAGTACATCTACTTTGAATACTTGGTAAAATCTATGTCGTTTATTTCAAGCGAACTTATTATGCAATTGGTTAATAATAGTAGAAGAAATCTTGACCAAAAATATGGGATAACGTAAGAGATAGTAGGTCTAAATGGTGGTGAATTTAGACTACTCTTGATAAAATAAGTACCGATTAATAGCGTCTATCAAATCTAATCCAAGACTAATCATGCATAAGATTCAGCAGACTAAAGACGGTTAATAAGACTGAACATTTTTCGACAGATAAAATAAAGGAACGATTAATGACTTTTAAGCTCGAACGATAGTAGAAATTAAACTCCATTAGTTGATTGTCGAAATCGAAACAAACTCAAAATCTCTACTCAGCGTTCATACAATCTAAACATCCGACAAAACCCGCAAGTTTAGAAGAATTAAACGTAATACGTAAGATAGATAAGTGGTCATCCTAATCAGAACTAAATATTAGAATAATTAAATCTGTTCGTCACTACGTTAGATATATATGAATTGAACCCAGTTGCTTTATTTTATCTTATTAAGATGTTTATTAACGAGAATAAGTTATAATGGATATAAAACATTTTTGATTCCGTTTTTATAAAAAAAAACGCAGTTGTTGTTTGTTGTGCGATAGTTTAATATAATTTTTCTCGGAACCAGTATACTTACGGCCGGAGAGGCAGAAAGGCTTAAAACAATATATGACGTTGATAGTGCCTTTTTGTAAGAAAAATGTCTCTGTGAAAACCCATTATGTTATCCAGTCGATGATGAAGAACATGGTAAATAATGGTACGTTGCACTGCATGGAGAAACTTACAGGCTCCAGGTGTTATTTCTTTCATGTAAGTGAATGATGTCCTGAACATGAAATGTGTGGTTTTACACGAGTACACAGAAGAAATAGTACTACATTGCAGATGCGGCATTCGCTTTTTTATATCAGGAAGCGTCAGGGAATGGCTTGGTTTTGCACGACCAAGATAATGTATAATGCGGACTGAATGTTGTATAGTAATCTCCATCAGTCATAGATACACGAGGGGCACCACAAAACCTCCCACATACTGAATCTAAGTGTAAGTATATTTTCGAAAGAATTCTTATAAAAGAAACGATTGATCAGGCATAATTATAGTGTGATAATAGTATATCCGCTGTGTGTTCTAGTAAGTTGTTTGGTATCGAGTCAATAGTGCGCCATGTTGATTTTTTCATTACAACGATATTACTAATAAGAGCGATTCATAGCTGTTTAACTGTTTTCTTAGTTGCTCCTGAAATATACTCTTGTCTCTATTATCGTTAAGCAAGACTCTAAGCCCTTTCCTTGCTGTGTCCTTCTTACGTCCATTAAGATGCAGACAAATATGTGCTCGTACTTGAACATGATCTGAATCTAAACATGTGCTCCAGAACTACCAGCAGTCTTCTTTCTAGCCTTTACATCTGTGGCTGATAGAAATGTGGTCTAGTTTAGTCTGGCGTTGAGTCAATTTTGGAGGCCACCATGTCAAAGATGTTGTTTCTTATGCTTAAAGTCGGTGTTTACCAATAATAGGCGATTATTCAAGCATATTTGCAAGAGATGGTCGCCATTAACTGGTTTTTGAGCCTCGACACTATGCCCAACCACCGACTGCCTCGTCGAGCTATGCCTTGCGATGTAGGAATAGGTTAGAAGAAAGTTAGGGGCGGCCAAACCAAAACATGGC